AAAGCTCAATTTTATAAGACCGGTGAGAAACTGTTAGTTTCATAACCAACTACCTTTTCTAATGTGCAGAGGTCCATCGGATGAAATATATATTCAGCGTAATCTGGATGTTGTTCTAGAGATACAGGCTTCTGAAATGGCTCTGTCTGTTAAACAACAAAAATGAGAAGACTAATTGGTCCAATATGATCAAAAACTGAGCTTATCCACATGAGGTTCTCCAGACAGACTGTGTAAGTTTTGAACACTCCAGTTATTATAAGGGATATGGTAAATATTGCTTTTTTACCCAATTAATAGGTTTTCTCTGGTGGGCTGCAGCATGTGGTGAAAGATTCGAGCGTGGCTGATCCTGAAAGAGAGCAAGGAGAGCTTTTCCTCACCAGAAAACAGCTTCGCTCAGCTGTCTGGACAACTGGAATTACTTAAAATGATATGTCAATGGTCTTGAAAGTATCTCATAATACATCCGTGACCAGGCTGTCTGAACGTGAGGTGACTGTCCTGCAACTTACAAAACAAATGGAACAGAAGGAAGCTCTTTCTTTTGTGGATTTATATTTTAATGCAGGACTCCAATAAAAATCTGATTAAGAAGCCTGAAAATATGCACTTCCTTCTTTCTTCTTTGTCATTGACATGTAACAGCAGTCACGCCCTTCCTCACCGCCAATTGCTAGCGATTTAGCATGGGCTTTTTACAGCCAAACGTGTTCGCTCTATAAATCTCTATAAATATCCCTGCACTGGATATCTTTGCTTGAATGAACACCCCAGAATGAAGAGGTCTGATCTGGAGGTCCAGGTTTGGCAGAAAAGATATTTTGTTGTAACACTTCTTTGAAAATAAGATCTTTTAGATGTACAGGTTTTATGCTTCAGAGGTTAAAGGCTTATTGTGATATGTACAGTAAGTGTACTGCAAAATATTTAGGAACTGTTAATGTGTAAATAAAAGATCCAACAATTTATTTTTTTTTGCAACAGCTGGCACAATGATCTAGTTTTGGGGAAATCTGTAGTTATGAAAAGCTGCATTTTTAATGTTTTTTCACAAGCTGAGGAATTGGGAGTTAGCCATATAAATGATTGTGTTTTTTAAGAGAAATAAAACATGTAATTTGGAAAGCACTTATTTCATTAGCATTTCATGAGATTATCAAAGACACTGTTTCAGATGTATTTTTCTGTTTACAAAACCAGATTCTGTATTCATTCATGCTGGTATTTCTTCAGATAGAAACATCTTTCTTTTCCCTTTTTGAATGCCACGGACACTCTACAGTAAAGAATTAGGAAGAATTTTCTATGAAAGAAAAACTAAAACAACAGTAAAGATATAATGTCCAACAGTAGAAGGATAACTTTAACTTACCCCAGGTTGTTTCATTTTCTGAAGTGCAAACTTTAGCAGATAAGACAGCTGGTCTATTGTTAGCATTGTCATTGCTTTGCTTTGAGTTTCTATGCATTCTGCCACTGTTATTTTCTGAAAGACAAAAAGGAATGCAGTTCTGTAACACCTTTTGAATAACAGAAAATTCAATCAGATAAAAAAACAGTACAAAAACTTTATTTAATACTTAAATTTGAAAAATGGGCATAGAAAAATGCCCACTGGAAAATAAGCAACACATTCTACAATAAAAATAATTACATTATGCTGGCTTTCTAAAAAGATTGTTGTTTGATCAACAATCAGTTAACCAGAAAACTACTTTTAAACTTGTTTATATAAGAAGTCACATCCGTTAGCAAGAAGAATGGATTATGAAGAAGACACAAATAAAGTCAGGCTCAAATCCACTATCTGGCCAAAGCCTCGACCAACTACAATGTCTGAAAGCAGCAAGAACACCATGAACAAGACATGGCTTGTATGCCACAAGGTGCGGAAATATCTGCAGCCCAGTCCCATCCCAGCCATCCCCATTCCTTGAGCACAACTGACTTTGGCAGAGGAGATCGATTGTGTTGGGACTGAACTGTGCAATCCACAACTTCTCACCCTGACTGGGATCTGGGAGTGGCTCTGACCATAGGGAAGATGAAGGCCATCTGCCTCATGCTCCTCAAGACACTTCCAAAACCGTCTTGACATGTAAAGAATTTAACAATTTGAGGGTAACTACTCTTTGGGCAAGCAAATGAAGGTGAGCACCCTGAAGTGTACCAATTCCCCAGTCTGTTTCAAGGCCTTCTTTCGTGAAAATGTTAGAGAGCCACGAGTACCTCACATTCTGGACAGAACCAGTCCCCCTCGGGCTCCGCTGTCAGTTTCAGACACTTTGCATGGTAGACCCTTGGGCAAAGCTCACAGCAGAGGACCTGGCCCTCTCGGTGGCACACCCAGCAATAGAAGTCATTCCGTCCATCCTGTGGTACAACATCAACAGGGTCTGTGGTGAGTGGCTGCTTCATATAGTAAAAGGGACCATGTCTTAGTTCTGACTGAAATGCAGGCAAGAGAAACAGGTTTTTCAAAACACAAGAGATCAAAGTGTAGTACAACAAGCAAATTCATACAGCATTGAATGTTAAATGGTGGATGCCAAGAACAAACTTTTGTGTTAGATCAATAGATCTTCATACTACTTTACAGACATATGTTTAATTAGAAACACGGCATTAAGCAACACAAATCTTGTTTGAATTAAAAAATAAAAAGTACTAGCTAGAATGTTACATTTTGAACGGAATTTGAAAGTTTGTTTTGGCACACCACATGTAGCATCACTATTTTGCATGAAACAAGCCCTTCTTTACAATAAGCATAGATACAAAGGTAATTTACCTCACAGCATTGTTATACATGAATAAATAATGCATGTTTAGAAATGGTGTTATAAATGACAGGCTGTACAATTTAACAGAATGGCTGGATACTTTAAACAGTACAAGGCTGTTTTAACAATGACAATCAGTGAAAAGGGCTACTTTATTCATAGCCCACAGGCAAAAGCACACAAGTCTCATTCATGCAAAATAGGATGCTTACAAAAACTTAAAAACAAACATATGTCAATATTTTTACCAAAAACTTTAACATACTAAACATATGATAACAGTGAAATTAATTTAAATTTAGCCCTGTGCCATTACACTACATTGTGATTTGTGTTCATCTTATGACATAAGTAGCAAAGGATGTTAGTAAGTTCATTTGCTATCCAGAAATTACTGGGTGAAAATAATGAAATTAATAAAATATTAACCAACAGTTCAGTTTATACATACTGTATATCAGAAAACTTTAATTACATATATGAACACATTTATCACTTATGAGTTCAAATGTATTAACTATACATAACTTTGCCAAAATCAACATGGCAGGTGGAGTAAACTACAAAATTCATAAATTAGTAATGTAAAACCAAATATACAAAATTAAAATGCAAAACAGACTGCAACAAGTGTCTTGTTTGACAGTCAGGAATAAAATACGTTCAGACAATTTTAAACAAATCTTTCTGATGATAGTAAAAAAGATGTGTATTATACCTGTTCCTTGTTGTTACTATTCACTAAGCCAGGTTTCTTTTTCTTTTTAATTGGGCTTGGTGATGTGTCAGTAGGGGAATGACCATTGGAAGAATGTGGCGGACTGGGAAGCTTTCGTTTCTGTGCTGCTCGCTCTGCAGACCCAGGATCTGAAACTACAAAGCAACTCAAAGTCAGACAAGACTACAAGAAAACAAGTCCTTTTTTTTCCCCAATTTATTGAGAAAAAAAAACTCTCAGACTGGACAAAATGAGTCATTTCTGTTTCCTGGTGTTCACCACATAAATCTTTGTATAGAGTGAAGAGTGAAGTCTGCCTTGTATTAGTTGTGAAAAATGGCCATATAAAATGCACAAGCTTGAGAAATGCAAATGGCTCAGTAAAGGAATTATTTTACACTCAACAGAAAACTGTAACTGAGTTCTTTCTCTACAATATTTACATGTACTCTTTCATTTAACGTACATGTAAATTACTTGCAGATGCCTCCTACTTAAAATAACTTACTCCACTGTACATACTTCAGCAGCCATGTTACCTCTTAACAACAGAGAGGAATTCTGCCACAGTAATATCACTGTATAAACAGAAGCACTGAAGAACATACAATTCTAAATAAAAACATTTAAGTGTAATTATTAAAGAATTTATCACCCAGTTATTTCTACCAACTCTCATTTAAACATTTGTTAATTGTGGAAAAGCAGTATGCCAGATACTGAGCCATGCCTCCTTCAGGCATTTTGAGAGTTTTTGATAACACTTAATTACAAAAGGGATTGTATTTTTAAAATGCTTAATTAGGTGGTGTTGTGTCTATCATCTCTCCAATTATTTTAATTTAAGGGAAGGACACTACACAGTGATCAACATGAATGTTACACTATAGCCAGTTCCAGTGGGAAATAAAAATGATATATTTACATGGAACTAAAATGATAGACATACACAACATTGTGTGCGCTCTGCATTTTTAACCGCTTTTTAATGTCAGAATTAAAAAGCAGTTTGTTGGTCAAGCAAAGAACTGAAAAGAAACTCTCCAGGACTGTGTTCATAGCACAGCCTCAGTTATTCCTGAGGTTTTCCTTGGCTGTGCATATTTGTATTGTTTTGTTATTTGTTAATGACATTACTGTTTTAAAGCAGCATTGAAGACGCACATTAGAAATATTTTATTATTTGAACAATTAAAACTTAAAAAGCAAATGTTTGAAATCAGGTATCTGACATTTTTTGTTTCACGCTCATCAAGTCAGAAGTATCATGGAGTTTTACATTCATATACTCTGATATTCCCAGTATGAAAAGCCTTCTCACCTTTAGATCGTGTTGCGATGTCCATCCCCTCTACCACATCCGGCTCTGTTTTTATTTCTTCTTCAGCCAAACTACAAGGGCAAAAAAAAAGGGAAAACAATGGTCTTTCACATCACACTTTCAGGTTTCCCCAATGTTCCTACAGCATTTGTGACCCTAAATGGACTGGCTTCATGTACTGACTGTGCTTATAACTTGCATATTCTCAAAGGGGATCAGTCGTCACTGACTTACACTGCGCCAGTAACAATTCTTTTTACCTGCTGCTGAATTTCTTTAAGGGTATTTGCAGTTGTGCTGCAAAAATCTATTGAGATGTATACAAAGATGAACAATAGCGGTCAAGCTTTCTTTCTTGCCTAGCCAAATTAGCATGTATCTGGCTTGATCTTAAGGTTCATTTTCAATGTTTATTTTCTAATCAGTGCCACAAGAGACTATCTCCATAGCTACCAGCAGCAGTTGTTGCAGCTCATAGATAGATACATAAATACATCAATAAAACCATAACGGAGCAAAGCCACTCACAATAATTCAGGACATAAGAGACATAACAGTTGAAAACATCGCAGATGAGCAACTGGTCAATTTTAAAAGTTGTGCTTTTAACATGAAATACATATATATAATTAAAATCTCGTCTTGCTTAACTTTAACAAAAGTAAATGTTTACAGTTAAATCCTAGATCCTGATCAACTTTAAGAATTTCTTTTTTACATTGCTTGTTACAGTCTAAAAACGGTTCCCAAGAGAAACCTGCAATTAAATGATTCCGACAAGTTGCGTGGCAACAAACGAAACTCTTGATATCACACTTTTTGTAGTTAAGACTCTAACACAAATGAAATTGCCAGTCTGCATAACATCAGAAATAGTGTCAATATACTGTATATGGATATCATTTGACATATTTAAAGTAGCAATGCAACTGAAACCCCATACAAATGTTCCACAATCAACAGAGGTAAACAAAGAGGGAAGGAAGAATCTTTAACAGCATAATTTAAGCATTTGGTATTTTGTAATCTAGTGATCTGGTAAATCCTTCAGCATAATAATCAAATCTCAAGCGAGATTAACTCCCAAAGCATTTCACTCTCACGTGGGATAAGATCTTAAATGCAGCATTAGTTTGTTGTGTGTGCTTAAGGAAATACAAATGTCTATCACACTCAATTGTTGAAGCTAGAAGTACCATAATTCATTTACAATACAAAATCCAATTGATTTTGGCCTAAAAACACTTCCTTGATAAAAAAATATAAATTAAATCTTCTGAATAGCAATTTTTGTTTCACACATAAAGTTGCATAATGCTTGTAAAAACAATGCTTTGTTTATTACAAGATTCCAGCCTCAAGCATCATTGCTTTGGAATTACAGTGAACCGATCTGTGGTACGAAGGGCAATTCATTCATCCAGAAGCCAAAATGCCCAAATCCTCACTGTTGTAGCTGCCAGTTTTACTAGGTAACACAAAAAGAAGCCCTTCACAGTCTAAAAAGACCAGATAATGATAGAGACCAAACTGAGCAAATTCATCTTCTTGGCTTCTTCAAGTAAGATTTAACATAAAGTCTAGAAGATTAATAAGGATTAAGATATAAAACAATCTCCCATATACAGTTATAATTTAGAATATATAATCAAAACAAATATCTATGGCTCTCACTATGTTTTCTTCCACAACAAAACTTTGTTTTAAAATTAAACAATGTATGCATAAAAATACTTTTCTTTTATTTAGACCTCTGACTTTGTTTTACCCACTGTGATTTTGCAAGAAGAAAAACATCCTTCACTTTAAGCTACTTGCTGTGCACAAAAAATGTAATGTATTTCTAAAAACATTCAACATTAAGGACCACTTCTTCCCTACCAGTGTAATAAAGCATTTTCTGGGAAGCACAAAGTAGAGCAATTTCACAAACCACTGCATGAGTTAGTGTTTCCCTGGTAACATGTTACCATGGAGACTGTTCCACATTTTTGGAATGGAATCCAAACAACAATAAGCTAATCTAAGTTTCTTAAAGAAAGAAAATATTTATTCAAATAGGAAGTTTCTAAAACAGGTCTTTAAAATACTTTCACAACACACGAGAAACAAACATATTTTAATAAAATCATGCCTAAAATTCTGAAACTAAACATCCTCCTCATATTTTGAAAGATGACAATCAAATTTAACAAAATGTTATATTAGGCTATCTAGTACTTTTGGCATTTATATCAAGTGATAAAATAACACAAAGTAGCCAGAACTAAGATGGAAAAGCTAAAATGCCTTCGAACACTTTAAAAAACGTAGTCATAATGCACATTTTACAATTAACACTTTAAAAAACAACTATAAACTTGCTGTTTTCTGATTAATGGCCTTGTTAAGACCTTTAGAGGCAGCTGTATATTTTTCACAACAAGGTTAAAAAAATATCATAATGCGAAGTACGGTAGGAATCTTCATGTGATTCCGAGAGGCCTTAAAAAAAATCTTGAGTGAGTCACTGCAGGCCCTCACTGTTCAAAACTAACACAAAATATTAATAACTGCACTGTTTAAGAGAAAAATGCAATTCGGTAAATGGATTAAAAAGCACATCTGTGTTCAGTAACTGTATGCAGATAGGTGCATCTGAATGAGTCGCATGTCTCGCTACAGTCTCTAAATGCAGCAACAGCAACAGCCACAGACTTGAATTAAGATGCTGATGTTTCTGTAAAGATATATTGCCACTGTGCTGATACAGAAAATGGTATTTAACATCAATAACATCTGTCCTGTAGCTTTGAACAAGACTGGACATACCCTACCCGACAGAGACTAAAAGATTCCCAACACATCAGATTCCCAGCACATGGCATGTCACTGCCTTTTTCCCTTCCCATGACACAGCATGCATTCCTGGGACTTCCCATTTTGGAATGTTTGCAAACGACCACTTGCCTACAGAGCTAGGACACGAAAAGTGCAGCTCTTTGACACATTAAAAAAAAACAAAGAACAAAAGACTGCATAGTTTATTTAGAAGGGAAACCTCAGCTCTTTCACAGACAAAGAAATGTTAAAACTCCAAATGGGATTCAATTAAACTTCAGTGGATCTTCAGGTCATATACATTTGTTGATGCATCACCAGGTACCCTCTCACAGTGAACCAAGAGGGTTGCTTCCTGCTACTATGGGAGATGATGACAACAAACAACAATAAAGATAAATGAAAAAAAACAGCCGTGCCTTTGACTCTTTGTTGCATTCTTACATTGCCAAAATCCATCATATATGAGGTAAGGAATTACAAAGTGAACTTCAATGTATAAGAAATCAGTGTCTGTGTCTGCCACATACCCTGAGTTACTCATTTCATAAGAACTAAAATATTTTTTAAAACAATACTACTTTTTTTTTGTTATATTTCAATGCAGAAAAGTGACACATAGTAGCATACCTTGTCTTATGCACAGAATATACAAGAAAATTCTTCTGCTTGGCTTTAATTTGGCTGGTTGGGATGAAACAAAGATGGTTGCAGAATTTTCCAGAAGGGCCTTGCTCTCCCTGCTGCTAGACTGCAATTGTCAATCTTTAACCTAGGCTGTGGCTGCGATTGGTTTGAGTGTTACATGGAGGAGTGTGATTGGGCTGCTGCACTGTGGAGCAGAGCTTGCTACTACCTTGTCTCTTAGACATTTTGCTGCAATGCAGAGATTTTTATAAAATAAAAACAGAATCATTCCATGCAAAGTTTCCCATATGTATTTCTTTATCCAGCCACACAAATCTGTACATGCAAAGGGAAAAGAAATCCGCTTATGCCATTTGATTTCTGTTATATTCAAAACCTTGTTTATAGAAAACTAAAATATTATGGTGTCCCTTCTATCCCTCTAAAACTGCTTATACCTTCTGAACACAAATATCACAGTATCCCACTGGCTCTGTATTGATGAGACTTAGAAGAATAGGAAAAACATTAGGAGCCTTCTGAAACTAAATAGCTGCTGTGTGACAGTACAAAGAAAACATTGTAAGCTGTTAGACTTAAAAAGGAAATCGGCGTATTGACATTAATAATTTACAGTGGGAGCTCACACAAGTTTGGACACAGTACTTCAAACTAAATCAGAAATGAAACCTACAGTACATTCAATAAGACAATTAAACAGTGAAGTTCACAGTTAAACAGTGAAGATTAGAAATCCAAACCAATAATAAAATACGCAGCGTACATGTCCTATTTATTTGCAGAAGCACACACATTTATGTGTATATATTATCCATCAATGTTGTGACTTATGCAAATACAACACATACAGATATGTATGATCTTTCCATACGTACACATATAAACACATTGAATGATTAAAAGCCTGTAGAGAAATTAAATAAGGTTTAAAAGGAACCATATATAATGAATAACCTAACTGAAAAATACATTATATATTTTGTTTTAAGTATACTTTTAAAAATGTTAAGTATTGGATTGTAATCTTTCAAAAAACAACCTCTCTTTCTTAAAGCTGCATGACAACAGTAATAAAGCACAGACTTAAAAACTCTTAGTCAAATCATGCTTACAGCCTTCTGTCCTCATAGTGCATATCTATTTACATATACTGTACACACTCCATATTTACACATTCAATAAGGAATAAAAAAAGAGTTTCTAAAACACTACCCTTAGTTGGACTTAACACTATGGTACGTGTCGCACAAACTTGTAAGAATACTAGGATCTGTTTCCAGGATGTTGCCCTAAATTCAAATTCATAAACCTGTTGCAAAAAATTAGATGACGGCAAAAAAAAAAGGTTTAAATAAAGAAAGGTTCTGCACTGCTAATCAATAATAACAAGTTACAACAGCGTGAACCCCTTCTGCTTGAGAAATAAAAAGGTTAGGCTGTGCAGAACAGAACCTGAGCATGTAGACTGAAAAAAACAGCTTTTTCACTTTTGGAGTTTCACTTTTAATTTTGCATTAAAAAGAGATCACCTATCAATGAGTAACGACAGGTATACACAGGAGAGCCAAAAGCAAACCAAACTCTCAGATGTGCACTGCAGTGGGTCTCTCAAACTGATCTTTCATATGTTTACTGTTAAAAACCTCATGCTTTCAACAGATCCTTACATTTTAAAGCCACTCATAGCTCAGCTGCTGTCAACAGGACTGCTGCTTAAAATGATAATAGCCACGAGAACAGCAGACTGTCAACTTCTGCATAACTTCAGGCCACTTATTGAGATTGCACTCCTTAATTTGTGGCTCTCATCAAAAAAAAAATTAGCCACCTTCCGCCCATCAATCAAATTCATATTACCTAATTACACTTTGTAAGATATGTGCATTAGTAAAGCAGGCTGAAATCTTCAATACAAGGCAAAGCACTGACAGGAGAGGGCTCTAATACACTGCTCCTTGCAGTTCCTCAAGTCCTGTTCTGTAAAATTAGTTGAAAGCAATGTTTTTCAGTCGTTTGCAGGAACAAAAAGCTGTGCACACTCTCTCCATTACCTTACACCAAAATGTAAACCTGTGTGCTACTCTGTAAGCCATTTGCTCCCCCAGGGATCCCTGCTGTGCTGTTGTAGCTACATCTGTTTCTTAACTTCCATTTTATCTGAGGCTGACATGTGACACAGGCAAACAATGATGCAGGCAATCTGCTTACAAAGAGATCCCTCACAATCAGAAAAGACTAAATCAACAGAAAGAAAATGTTACATATATTCCTGTCTTGCAAAAAGGATTTGCCATGGTCATCTCTGCAATGGAGACTGGCTAAGTAACCATGTGACCACAGCCAGCAAGAGAAACTGCTTTTGCTTCTGCCTGGTTCCAGTGCTGTGGTGTGTGATTTGCAGGCTTCCCTCTCAAAGAACAATATTCTGGTATTAGATAAACAGTACATTAAGGAAAAAGTAAGAAAATCAGGCTTACCTCTGTGGATGCATGGCTAACACAGTGTTATGTCAATACTTATAAAACATGGAGGACAGTCTCAGTTCTTAGACAGAAAGGGCTTGGCACTTCAGCTTGATGATCAGACTGCCAGATAGAAGCTAGACCCTGAATGGCCTCTTTTCACTACCGGGATGTAAAGCGGCAGCGGATTGGCTGAAACATTTCCTGAGTAATTATCTTTGTTCAGCTCAAGCAGGCAGGAGCAGCTCTGTGGACAAAAAGAAGAGCCAGATCTAGGCCCAAATCACAAAATACACACTTTAAAACATTCCTACAAACAAATGAACACATACAATGTTCTAAAATCGTTACCAATCACTGCATCCTACATTGGCTGGGTTGTATTTAACTGTATTTTCCAAAATATTTCCCCAAAACATGAAAACTAGGAGCAGTCTGACTCGTCCTCCCTGTTGCAGAGAGAAAGGCCTTTGTCTAAGAAATCCCTCCCTTTTATTTTAACAATCCACAGAAAATTTAAGTTCCCAAATGCAAAAGTATACGAATGAAGAGTAAGAATAAATGGTGACAGCAGTCTGTAGAAGGTCTGTCTTAGGCCCATCTGTAAATCTACCAGGCTTCTAGAAATATTACATTTATAAGATTCTTAAGAACAAAATAGTCAACTGGCCAACTACACAATTATTTGTGTATATATATATATCTTTCCTATATATATGCAGAAATATTAGATATAAAAACATGCAGACAATATACAGTGAATGTAAATATTATATTTTAAAGGCATATTTCTAATATTACACAACATCTCACAAAATGTTAGTATTGCAAATTCAGTTAATTCCCATTAGATTCCACAAAATTACTGTTTTCTCTAGATCTTGGTCTATTTACAATCTCTTAGAAAAAGACAGTTTGATTGTGCATTACTAATCAAATACTGTATTAGATTTAATCCAGAAATAAAAATAGATTTGTATACAAGCACTAAACATCTACCAAAATGAACTGTTTTCTATATGAAAAATATTGTTTTGTTTTCGTAATTTCTGGTTTTCCAACAGAAAATTATTATTTAAATATAGTACTGTCATGGTTGTTTTATGTCAGGAGAAAAGGCTGACATTACCTCAATCAAAGCGGAACTGTGTGTACTGTTTTTTTCCTATTTTCCCCATGAAATATATGCACTGTGCTACAAAAAGTAGCCAATGTCCTCTAGTCGGGTCACAAACTCTGATTAACAGCAACAGCAATTTGTTTTTTTTACATGTGATTCACAAATTTCTATTAATTGGTTATTGGGGTATTGTTGCATTTGTGAAACAAATGTTTTTAAAAGTAAATATAAAATAATATTTCATATAAATAATATATAATAAGCTTTTTATACATAATTTAAACACAAACATGCCATATATTTTCATTGTGAATTCAAACTGTGCATCTATAACAAATTGTATTTTATTTCAGAATGGCATAATATTTCTTACATATCAGGCCGCACTGCTATAGTTTTGCATAATAAAAGTTAATTTATGTGGCAAGAACAAGGAATTCTACCAATCACAAAGATAAAACAATCATATAAAAAAAAATTCATAACAGATTTAAAAGCACCCAACATATAGAGATATACATTGGCTACTACTTACAATTTTTGTGAGATTCAGGTGTCTAAAAGCTTAAAGTATTGGCCTCACTCACTCCTTCCTATAATGGAGTGTCGAAAATGGACTTCTTACTAATTACTGAACAGCCTGCAATTATATGTTCTGACACCTGCACGTGTTGAACACCTTCTAATACTGCTATACACCTGCATTATAATTTTACAATTCACTTGTAGAAGAAACATTATTTTCGCAGGAAATACTATTTACTGTATAGCTTTGTGCCCTTTTTCTGTGATCCTAAATGTAATAGTGACACCTTGAGGCAAATTCTAGTATAGATAAATAGGCTGCACTCTCACATCCTACACTAATCACGTTGTGTTCTTTCATGCCTTGGCACATTAGACTTCCATATACATAGAATTAAAGGGTCAGATGATAAACAACCAGAACCTTAGAGTGGTCATTTACATTTACACCTTTTCCACCACATAGCTCAGTTACTATTCTGAATACTTCATCACCACTCCATCACTGCACAAAATTACTTTTACAGACTGAAGCTTATAAATGTGTTCTATGTGCATAGGCTGCCCAGCTGTTGATTAACCACACCTGGATACACAGCGTTTAAAAATGTCTCCTCCAGTCCTGGCACTGAAACAAAGTGGAGACAAATGGCTGTCAAAAATCTCTCATTTTTTTGGTGAGCACAATACAGTACTTGTGTTGAGGCCTTCAAAGTGAACACACCACATCTCTTTGAGAATTGTAAGTCTTCATCAGCCTCGGGAGTGCTGAAGCTTTTTTTTTCAGACAAGCTGGAAGATGATTTATAGTAAGATGCTGTCCTCACAATGGATATTTTTAAGGGAGCTCTTATCTCTTTAAGGTGACATCCTCTTAGGCCCAGCCCTCACTGCCATGATGTTTAAAACACACAGGCACTGATGACTTGATTTTGCTTCTGAAGATTTTGCAACTTCCCTGAATTAATTTTTCTGTCTTTTAAATATAAAGCATGTCTGTATTTACATTTCTATGCACTGGGTTCTGCAGCCACTGGCTGTTGAATTCAGCGGCACTCAGGAATCGCACTAGGCAACATGGCAGTAATTAACTAAAATATGTCAATATAATTGCTTATCATTGCATATTATGGCTATGCATGTAAACAATTGCATACAGTTGATAGTACTTATACATTAAGTGTATAAGTGTCCAAGTGAACAGGCTCATTTATTTAAGTTACCACTCAGCCAGACCTTTATATCTAAATAATTTAATCACAAAATGGAATTCTAGTTTCATTCCAACGAGACTCTTCACACCTTCACTTGATGCAGCTTGCAAACGCTTTAACAGGAAGGTTCTGTACATACCAAAACCCTTCGGTAGTTGTAAGTGTAACTAGATTTAAGGAAACGGTAATCGCACAGGATTTTTAATGCTCCTCTGAAGTGAGTAACCAAACCTTAGTTGCATTGCGCCCCGTGTAATGTTTTCTTTGGTCCCGATACAAAATCTCTCCAGAAATGTAAAGTATTCTAGACTATCAGTGCAGCCCTTTGTTTCTTTTCATGAAACGGCTTTACTAACCTTTGGTGAAGAAATCGGTGTTATCCCAGTCTTGCTTGTACAATGCTTTAAAAAAACGTGTGTGTATGGATTATGTGCCTCCTAAGCATTCAGAACCCCCATCGGCCACTCTCATTCTAAAAAAAAACCCTTCTTTTTCTGTACCCTAAAACTGCAAGGTTTAATGCTCATGAACGCGTTCTTATTGGAGAAGACAGCAGTCGATCTTGTTGTGAAGGGGAAATAAAGCGCTTCAGCACGCTGTGACAACACGACGACGACGACGACTCAAGTCAGAGAGCTTTGACGTAGCGGAGATGGAGGCCTTGACGGTTTTCTGCCCTGCCCGGCAGGTTCACCGAGCGTGGGTGACGATTGGCGGACGCCTCAGCCGCTCATCCCGGCTTCCTTTTTCCGATTGGTCCATCTGCCCGTCCATCAGACGTGTGTCCCTGCCGCGGGGGGCGGGACCTGTGCGTCAGTGGGCGGTGCTTGGAGGAGTCTGGAGTAGAATCTGGGAGGGTACGTCGGGCTGAGTCCGGTGGTTGCGTGCGTGGTGTGTGTGTGTGTGTTTGTGAGCACATTTTGCCTTCTGTCGATCCTCTCGAATTCATGCTAAAATACTGCACCTTCTCAACAGTGAAGTGGCGGGGCAAGAGGAAAGGGGGGTCTTGTTTTTGGGAAACACACGCGGGAAGAAGTGCTTGCCGAGTCAGCCAGAGCCATGGGTTTCCGTAAGAAGAACAAGAGCCCGCCGGTACTGAGCCACGAGTTCGTGATCCAGAACCACGCGGATATGGTGTCGTGCGTGGCCATGATCATTCTGCTGGGACTCATGTTTGAGGTACAGTAAGGAAACAACAAAAAGCAGATCGGCACGCAGGACACCCGGTTGACAGCCACAAGGGGGCTGGGCACAAACTATCCCCCCCTGATCATTAACACTGAACGCGGCCATATAAACCTGGTCACATTACAGGAAAAGCTCCTCTCAACAGGGCAAATAGTTCAGAGTGCCGAACACAAGAGCTCCCGGACATAGTTCAGAGCCGCCAGAAATGTCTTTATTGGTTTATATAACGCCTCAGCTTACTGGGCTGATGTCACAGCTAGGCACCCACATCAAAATATCATTTTACACCGAAGATATGTTTTTAAGAGGTACTGTAGCTGGCTAACTCGAAGGGCAGTGACGCCTGGTCGATGGTTAAAGTGTTATTAATGATCGGATGTGCCAAATGCAGCTATGTACCTTGCCATACTGCAGGTGCTTTAGGGTTGTACTAAATATAACCGCAAAAAGCAATGTTTTAAATGTTTATTTTTTTTCTACCTGTTACCTGTTACTGATGGTAATATTTCGAATGCGAACGACGACGAACTTGACAAAATGTTTGTTTTCGCGTCTCGGCAGTCATTATTTACATTGAAGGGTGCGAGGCACAGCTTTTGTTTTTGGAGCGAATGAACTAATGGCACCTGGACGGTTTAAAATTTAAAATTTAAAATGTCTTCTGTTAATTCATAAAGTTACTAATTTTAGTTTTACAGCATAGAAACTGACGTCGCACGAGTTGTCCAAAGGGTTCAGCAGTCTTGCATTATCATGCATTAACCTCATGTGTACATGTTTTTGATACAGTACAATTTATTTGTATTTGTATTTACTGGATTATGATATTATCTGCGGTTTCCGCTACAATGCATTTTTTATGTAGTGCATCGTATAAAACTCTTCCACAAAGAGAGGCTTTGTCTGGAAGTTCAGGAACAGTCATTGAAAATGGGGCAACACTAGGTGAAACTGTGAGAATTGAAAGCCATTGCTATCTCACATGCCAGCTCTGAAAATATTTCAAATCTGTAGCCGGGTTTGTACAGGGCACCAGAAAAACACAAGACAGTGTGACTCACACTGTCACACAGGCCCTTTTCTGGGCCTGAAAAGGGGGTTAAAACGGAATGCATCATCTTATAATGTCATTGCACATTGATGCAGAGTTTTCACATCAGTAACCTGATTTGCAAAGAAGCAGAAATACCACATTAGGACAAGACATAAGTGTCAGGGCCCGCCATTTAGGATATAAATAAAAATATTGATGAACTGACATCCAAAGGAGTTTTGAAGTTTGAGACAAAATGATTATGTGTGCCATTCCCTGGGGAAGAAAAAAAAACAGAGCACCAAGCATTGGAAAATATCAGAGCAAATAAAAATGGACACAATTATTTTTCTTAATATTCACATTTAGAGCTCAGGCAGAGATTAGGTTTTCCTGCCCTGGAAAATTGCATTAAAACAAATCTTGACTACGTGCACTTTAGCAGTACATCATTGGACCTTCATGTTACGATTTTGCATGTTCAGTTCATGCTTGTTGCCCTTCATACAAGTTTAATGTTTAGTTTGGAGTATATTTTTTCTATTGGAGAGAGAGAAAGAGCATTTTAATGACTGTTTCTTCATTGTTCATTTTTTTTCTGCAGGTAACAGCAAAATATGCCATCATGTTTATTACTGTCCAATACAATGTGACATACACGCTTGGTAAGTCTTAAACTTTAATAAAAAACACATGGGGTACACTTTTACAGTGTGTAAAGTTGGTTAAATATTATCTCAGAAATATGCTATTTGTGTTTTGCCTCAGAGCCTTTTACTTCACTGTAACATTTCCTTGTTTTTTGTTCGTTAAATAATTAATTCTTTACACTTATATAGCACTTTTCTGGGGACTCAACTCAAAGGACTTTAATAAAACTAAAGCATTGCTACAATAAAGTTTGATACAGAGTCCTTACAGCTGCTGGGAATAATCACAAAAGTCGAGCATGGCAGAGGCTTTTTACATTCAGAAAAGGCTTGAGTGAAGCCAGTGTCCCAGTTTCATTTGCTTGGTGTTGCATTGTCTGGTAGCACACTACAATGAAAAGTTTACCCACTGAGACAACTTGGGTTAAGATGTGCAGAAGTCAAAAGAAATGCGTTAGGAAAAACTGAGGGGGGTAAGAAATGAGATCATCTTCATCAGAGTAACCATGCAGTTGACATAGGTTTTGGGCTAAAGAGCAGCTCTTCAGATGTGCTATGTGTGTGTTAGTGTCTGTTGCGTGCAGACTGTTAAGGTCAATCCAGAATCATCTAAAATCGATGAAAACGCAAGTAAAAGCCTTTCTGATGCCTTTTGTTTTGTCTGCCTAATTTTTTTCTTCCCATCTTTATTTAAAAGTTTAAATACGATGAATACTGTGTATCTCCAGAAAGGGGTAGGTTTAAACAAACTCATGCTAAAGAGGTTTACAGTTAACATTTAGTATAACAAAATTGGACTCACCCCGGGGACAGGACTGATGGTTGCATCAGTAATGGTGCAGAAATTCTCATCCCTGGTTCTAAATGCTGTTGCTGGAATGTTTTCCTTTGACCTTGTTCTTAGGAAGCATTCACCGATATTAATCTGTAGTTAAAGGTATAATGCTGCTTAACTGGAAAAAGAAAAGAGCATGGCTCAACTGCTGTTTGCTTGAAAAATGTTTCAAAATGCATAAATCCTTTTGGAATATTGAGCAATTTTAAAATTGGAAAACTACTAGATTTTTAACAGTGTGGGGTTAACATTTATAGTTATCTTTTTTTCCTCTTTTCAATACAGATGACAGACCTGAGCCTGTCAATTTCTATAAGTATGGACCAAAAGATATGGCTACAGTTTTCTTCTATGTCCTGATTGCAATCATTCTTCATGCCTTGATCCAGGAGTACATTCTCGATGTAAGTTACTGACCAGGACTGGCAATGATATAAGAATGAAACCAGCATTATTCAATGCAGAAGGAACCTGTTAGCTTGTGTTCTTAAAAACAACCAATCTAAAAAGTGGAGACTTTTCTGAAATTATAAACTATAACAGCTGAAACAGGAAGCCAAAACCTATGTATAAACAAGCCCAAGCTTTTTTTTTAAACCTAAAGTTGATAGGCAAATGATTATTTATTTTAATTAGGGAGATTGTTAGTAAACACGGTATAGTTAACTGATTTGGAAGAATAAGGTGTAAAGTTGCTAAATATCTAAATATTGGAAACATCACTTTGTGACATCAGCAGCAACATCCAGAGGTGGTGGTGGTGGTAGTAGTAGTAGTCATTATCCCCATCAGAAAAGTAGGAACATACAAACATTGGTGCCCTGCAAAATGATGTGTTGTACATTTAATTCCAGTAGAAGAAAACAATGATTGTGAAAGATATGTCATATTTAAGATTTGTGTATTTTATTATTTTGATGTAGTTTGAAAGTTGTCAGTGTCTAGGGTGTTAGCAAAATGCCCAGAATGTATGTAATTTTTGCATCTGCCTGTTCTGTCCTGTGCTTACAGCCACATGGCTACATTACTGAGAATTACCTATAGGAAACAGGCTATTTGCTTGTTCCAGAGTTAAAAGGTGCTTACTCTATCTGTGTGAGAACAGCCCTGCTCTGGAAGCAACAGCTTACTTTCATGCCAAATACCAGACAGATACATACAGGAAGAGGAAGTAAATAAATCTTACATGTATTCTGAATATGTGGGCGTCTGACCCATGTATGTGTTCACTTTTCGTGGTGTAAATATGAAATGCCCTTTTTATCAAATGTTAAAGTAAAATGTTGGAAAAAATCACCAGCTCTGTCATTATTACAGAAACATGTTGTGTCATGTAATGCACAACTAAAGTAGAACTTTAATGTAAATGTGTACTAGTTGTCTCTTAATTACATGATAATTATTTGTTCTTCATGACAGCAAGCAAACATCCACATACTTTTTTTTGTAAGCATCTGATTTACTGTGTACTCACCACAATTTTTTTTTTAGTATTGTTAAAGATACAATGGAAAATGTTATTATTCCCTTGCTTAACCAATCACACAGAGCGTTTGAAGTCTTTAGAAATGAGTGGGGTAATGTTAGAAAGCTCTTTCTAAACGAATATAGTTACCTAACGTTACCAGCAATTAACCACAGATGTGGCAGCAACATGGCAAATGATCTGAGATCATATGGTTATGCACTACGGATTACTTCTATAAGTCTCTCAAAATGTATAAAAAAGGGGGTTAGTTTAATCTGATGTATATTTATTTAAAAGTGTGTATACGATGATACTATTTTTTTATAAGAAGCGGCAGTCATAAGCTAATGCACACAATCCCTGGCCCTGATTTTTTCCATCACTATTGATATTTTTGGGGATGAAGGCAATTTCAGATGTTATGCGAGTCCTTTCTTTTGTTCAAAATGGCCTCACAATTCAAAATGTCCTGCAACACTGTAATGTTTTAGCCAACGAGAGCTCAAATGTGACGGCGCACCATCACAGTAGAGCCGTCTCGCTTAAAGACAAACTTCCAGTGCAGTTCTGCGTTGTGAAAATGTTAAGCTCATCTCAAACAGCATAACATATCTTAAATTAAAGTACAGTCTCTGTTGAAATTGTGTTTACCTGTCACCTTTTAGATTCTTCACAGTTTTTTCCCCAATCATACAGTGTTTTTACTGCACTGTTATGAATTCAGGAGTGATGTTGAGACAGGAGTGACATTTTTGTCAGGCTTCTCTCTCTCTCGCCCACTTTATGAGTCAGAATTCATATCCCATGTCTGTTGTGCACTAATGAGCCCCTTCCAGTGTAAAGACACCTGACTGAGATTTCAGATCTGGGTTTGGTCATTTCTACTTGAATTGTTGTACCCACAGACATTTCCTTTATGTGACTGTTAATTAACAGAAAATAAGTTATAAATTCTCCATAACAAAGTTACATGAGGTATGCTGTTATAAATTGAAACCTGAAGTGGATTTTTATCCACCTTTCCTGGATAAAAATTCCAGACATGCATCTAATATTTCTGAAGGCTATGGACATCACAGGCTCAGAGAAATCTATAATCTTTTTCTGTGCTGAAGAATTATATAATCTGTGCCCTGAACCTTTGAAATACTACTTAAAATGTTTTATTTCAGACAACGTTCTTGCTTTCACTAGAAGAGAATTGTGCATTTTTATTATCAACTAAGCAGATTTTACATTGTTGAGTTATTTAATTGGATTAGTTCCACTTTAGTGAGTCTGTACTCGGATCTGTGTGTAAAACAATAATTAGCACATTAAAGTAATAAAATAGTCATATTTTTATTAAAATAAATAATTGCATGGAAAAAATGTGGGAGCATAATAATATTTTTAATTTCAGAAAATAAACCGACGGCTTCACTTATCAAAAACTAAGCACAGCAAATTCAATGAATCTGGACAACTGGCTGCCTTCTACTTATTCTCCTTTATCTGGGGAGCGAGCATCCTGACCGCAGTAAGTACAGATGAGATCGTTGGGCAAAACTGAAGACGAAACAAAAAAACAGTTTTTAAGAAAATCAACCCTGGAATCAGATGCCTAATAAATGCACCATGCTTGTAAACCCACTGTTAAACTACACCTGATTTAACTTATAACACAGTGTTAAACAAAGTACAGTATGTAATTGATTCAGTGTTAAGAAATTAGACTTTTAAGGGCAGGTTTTATTGTACCTCACCCTTTTGTCTGCTTGTCATTGGATTAGTTCCAATGCAGGAGTTGCACACACATTTGCAGCTGTGTTGTGTACTTATCATTGATATCTTTTTGTGTCCAACAGGAGGAATTTGCAACAAATCCCACTTACTTGTGGGAGGGCTATCCTCACAACCATATGTTGTAAGTTCTTGACCTTTCTTCAGTATGTGTGCTCAGTTTTGTCTCATCTCTGTTGAAGAGTTAGCTTACACATCACACTGCTGCAGGCCTGCTCTGAGGCTTCAGGGCTGAAGACCAGCGAACATCCCCCGTCACACTGCAGCAACACCTTGCTGTAAAGTCACGGAACCCGAAAGCATATCCGCATCCAGAGCAAGCTGACCAATTGGTCGGGTCATTTTTGTCTACTTTCTTAAGCAGTACAAGGCACTGCCAACATAGGTCTCCAGTGAAGACCAGCAACACAGCGTGGTGATCAGTCATCTGCCTGTCGCTATATGCTGTGTTGTGTTTCTAGCAAGGTGAACTTGCTGAGATCAAGCTCTCACAATCTCACTCTCTCTCAGCTGATTTACATGTATTGAAAACGCTTTTTTTAACGACTGATGCCTAATCTCGAATTTGAATTCGTGTTTGCTAATTATTCCTCATTCTAGTTTTCAGGTGAAATTCTTCTACATTTGCCAGCTGGCCTACTGGCTTCATGCACTGCCAGAGCTGTACTTTCAGAAAGTGCGAAAGGTAGGGAATGGAATCGCCTGCAGTGCTGTTAAATAAGAATAACAGTGTCCCACAGCAGAGCCATAAGCTTAATATTGAGAACAAGCATTTTGCTACAGGGTACCTGAGATCTGGACACCAAAATGAAAGAAAATAAAGGCAGTATGTAAAAAAGGCCGTATATTTCAAAACACTGGATGTGGTTGCTACTACAAAAATGTCTTAAAAAGGAAAAATACAAAAGATGTGAATAGTATTATAAACTGTTGGGGTGTGCTTTTGAATTAGTGGATATTTCTTTTGTACCTGGAGAAGAATATTGGAAATGTGTTTGTGAAATATGAACAATAGACCCTCATCTGGTGTGTACAGTGGATGTTTTACTCCTGTTGTGTTGTGTGTGATGCTGAAAACGAGACTGATGAATTTTTAATGAAACATGAGTTTGAACAATAAAGAAGGTATATAATTCATAAACCTGCCTTAGCATTTTAATGTCTGAGGTCATTTTACTTGAAAATGGATTCTGTGAAGTAAGCACAAAACAGTCTTAAAATGTCAGTTACACTGTTTGAAAAGTGGGGAGATAGTGGCAAGAATATCAACTTGATCAGGGGCAGTATCCCTTTGGCTCTATCCCAAGAAACTAAGCAGAATGTCTATATGGGCCATGTGGGAACACAAAGTAATATTAACATTTTATCCTTTGCACAGTTGTAAACTCCACAGGAGAATGTGTTTCCTTGACGAGTTTTGAACTAAGATAAAATTGAAGAAACATTTTATTTTCAAACACTTGTGCTAGCTTCAGTGTTTGGTTGAACTTTAGTTGTAGTTTTTCTCACGATTTAATATAATCTCTTCAAAATGTGGTTTTCCAACAATGGCACTGCTGTGGTGTAGGTACATATTTTAAATTACTAGTACTTGTGCCCTTTTTCCAGGAGATGCACCAAAAATAAACATAGTCCTGGTATTAACAATGGAGATTAACAATAGAGTGGGAATTTATATGTGTGGTGTCTATTTTATCATAATATCAGAAAAATGCAGAGAAGTAAGAATGGTTTGTATTTGTAACTTGTTTTTATTTTCCAGGAGGATATACCTCGTCAACTCAATTATATTTGCCTTTATATATTTCACATTGCTGGTGCCTATATTTTAAAGTAAGTTGTCTTTATCTATGCCTGATTTAAAAATGTAGCATTTTAAACTCACTGTGAAAGCAATTCAACCAAACGTTCAGTTAACAGAATTTAATTCAAAGTCTTAAATTTTGATTGTATCTTGAGTGTTTTCTGGGGTTCTCTCATTCAGATATCTAGTTGGATAGGGGACACAAAATAATCTTTGATTTCCTGCTGGAAATCTGACATTCATAAGTGAATGTGTTCTATGAAAATAGATCAGGGTAACAGCTATAATTTAAGGAAACAGCAAGGTGCTCATTAGCATGATTTTAATGTAATTATCTGCAGGTTTTTGATAGGTCACCTGCTGCTGGGTCAAAGTGCATGTGGGATAACTTAGATTTTTCTCTGTCCTAAATAACATCCCTGCGCTTTTTATATTTAAACATTTGTTAGTCATACTTAGAGAGCCAGGTTTTAAAACACAGTTCTATTTATATTGATTTCACATTTGCTAAACGGAAGCTTTGCAGTTGTTATTTTCCCTCACCTTCCAATGTTCTTTTGTATTCGTAATACTAAGCCTGTGGTGTTCCTGTCTCTCTCGCTCCTGTAGTCTTCACCGTCTTGGCCTGATTTTACTGGTGCCACACTACTTGGTTGAGCTCCTGTTTCATGCCTCTCGACTCTTCTACTTCAGCGATGAAAACAAGCAAAAGGGGCAAGTGACACAAAAAAGCGAAACTTTGTATATCTGTCCAACCCTCCATTTTCCATCCGCTACTCCTGATTCAGGGTCGCGGCGATGGGCACGAGGCAGGGTACACCCCGGCTGGGATGCCAGTCCATCACGGGGCACTCACACAGACACGTACACACTCACACCAGGGCCGCTTTTCCCACACAACAATTAACCTTCCAGGATGTCTCTGGTGTGCGAGGGGAATCCAGGGCACCCGGTATGAACATACAGACTCCACACAGGTTATCTCCCCGGGTTGGGAATTGAACCCAGGGCCTCAGCGTCCAACTTTGTACACGCTAGAGAAAAAAGCTAGAAAGTAGTATTAAGAATGTGTTGCCACCGTCATCGAGGGAAGAAGCAGAGGTTAATTCCATGCTGAAAGTAGAAATAAAAAACACACGGTTTAGGCTGTTGAGCCTTCTTTAGGTGTCCAGAGCACTTCTCCCTATTTATGTCTCCGTGTTTTTAAAGGGATTCTGACAATATTGAGGAGCCCAGGTCCTTCTCAGTATACCTTCTCAAATTGAAGAATAAGAATAGGACATGCATCTTTATACGAATTATGGTGTGTGTCAGGAACAAAGGTCCCAGCCATGTTGTGCAAAAGAATGGCTGAATGGTCACCTCCTTTTTGGATTCTTTCATGTGTTCTTATGCTGTTGGCACGTGTCACTCTGAGCTGTGTAGACTTGCATCCCCAGTAGCGTCACTTGTATTAAGTTGGATGAAAACAAGCGAAAGGTGCTTGTAGAAAGAATGCAGTTCCTTTCCGTATTCGTAATAACTTGGAATAAACCGATGTTTCAATGGAAGGGATGGATCATCGGTATGGATGCTGATTTCAATAGCAGCCCTTCTCTCCAACCCTCAGGTTCACTCTGTGGGCCCTGCTGTTTGTCATCGCTCGTCTCCTCACCCTCACGCTCTCTGTCCTCACATTTGGCTTTGGCTTGGCACGGACAGAAAATCAGGGCTTCTCCATAGCAGACGGAAACTTCAACATCCTGACTGTCAGGCAAGTCCACCTTTGACCTCCTTTCTTAACAAATGGCAATTGGATTTTTTGCAAATCATCCTGAAAAGCACAATAATGTATGTAAACAGTGCTTGAGAAACTGAGATTGTATAAAAGACCTTAGGTTGTAAAGTATAATGTTAAAGTGAACGATAGGCATCAAATAAGTCCTTTCAGATCCAGAAGCTTGGTGCTTAATTTCAGGTTCTCTTGGAACACATCTGAGCAACAAGAATCTGCAATGAGATTCTTGACTGATGTCCCAGATATGCTCCAGCTCAGACTTTTTCTAACCCTGAAGAGTTCAGAATTTGATGCTAGTATTCAATATTACTGGTGATGTAACTGGATATATGTTGATCTGAATTAATTTAAATGTCTTCTTATACCATTCAAATTACACCGTCTTGTAAAATCCTATTTTCCACAAACTATAAAAGTAGTATTCCTCTGGCCACGCACTTAGTTGAAATAACAAAAATGGTTTGTTATAATAGTTTCGCTCATCATGTATGTTTTTTCTTGTGCCCTTTCCAGAATTAGCTGTTTGGCTGCTATCTGTCTAACACAGGCCTGGATGATGTGGAAGTTCATCAATTTCCAGTTAAAGAAATGGAGAGAACATAGCCAGAACCAAGCCACAAAAAAGAGAGTGACCAGTCCAAAGAGCAGACCTTCTAAAAAGGAATTAAGCAGAGGTATGGGTTATAGTTAGTTCCCTTTAAGGACCACACCTAGGATGGTGGGCTCAGTTTGAAAGATCTTGGTACAGTCCAAGTTAATAATGTGAAGGTGAGCGTTTTGTGTGATTGTTGTTACTTCATCTTTGCTACAAACAGTAGTTGCTACATACTGCTTACAGACTGTTTAACAACAAAGCGTATATCCTGCTGTATATAACATCTATCAGGTCTTGCAAAAGAAATACAGAAAAAGTGAATCTGAATTAATTGACGCTTTCTAATAAAAAAGCATTACATCGATGATTAGAAGGGGAATTCGAAAGGAAGTTGGTGTTTGTGTCTGTTTTTCTGTGCATTTTATCAATCTACAAAGTAAACTAAAGTTTAAAAAAAGATACAGCAGAACAAATTAAGTTGTCATTTCTTTAACAAACTTGGTATTTTTGCTTTTTTTTTGTCTGGATTCATGCCCTAAATTGAACTATCATCTAAAGTGTAATGTAAAAACATTACAGATGTTTTTAACAGTTTTATTACTCTTGATTTTGAGGAGCTGTCAGGAAAAAAAATGAACACAGTTAATGCAAAGAATGCTCTCAACAGCAGAGTTAAGTGGAAGACATGAATGTTTAGATGGAGCACATGACTGACTTCGTGAGGGCAGTGGAACAATACTGTATGGGTTTGAGTTTTCAAAATCACCCCCGATAACCCCCAAATCTTATACGTTTCACTTTTAAATGTTATGTGTTCATTTTATCTTGTTTTGCAGGAAATGCAGTGAATGGAGTCATGAAATTAGAGGAAAGAACGTCACCCCGTGCAAAAAAGCCCAAAGCATCGTAAAAGCATTTCCTTTCATGACCGAGAGATAGAGAGCTGAAATAGCAGCATGCTGTCCTCTCTCACACTAAATGTTACCACCTTGTTACTCGCTCTGAAAAGAACTTAGGTCAGTGGCATCCAGAAATTATATTGGGGAACTTTTGTGGTAAAACAGAAAAGCATTTCATGTGTTTTGGATACTTTTTAAATAGACCTTTATTGTTCAGATTTCTCTCAAGGTTTTGTTATTTATGCATTAGTGTGCATATCGTACTCTGGTTTCAGAGTGCATTATGATCGAAGGTTGGAGCTAATAGTGCTTTAAAAACAAGGTGCCTGTGAACTCTGCCATTAGCAGCGGTCCCTTGTTGGGCATTACCAGGGAAGGACTGCCTTCGCCAAGCATAGATGTGAACATCAGGCAGTGAAGCTTAGAATGATTGTTTATTTTACCTTTTAGTTAACAGTCATCTTTTAATTCCACTAATACATTTGAAAAAGATAAAAAGATCATTTGTGGAATTCATCAAGGTCGTTAAGAGCAGTGATTTCTGAGCTCATGTTGTGCAAACATGGGTGGCTGACACCTTACAGCTGTAGATCAGAATACCTTCCTGCAAATGGTGATTTGCTGTTTTTAATAGTAAAGAGGAGAAAAATAAAGGAATGGTGTCCTCATATCAAGCAGCTTTACAATACGCAAAGCCTTTTAGGGTGTAAATGGCTTGATATTGACAAAAGTCTCATTTGGAGACTTCAGATGCCCAGAGTGGAAAGTTCAAAGGGGTCAGACAAAAAAGATCAGTGAGGGCTCTGAAACGTGTGAGCCATCCAGAGCTAGATTAGTAATGTAGATTCTAGTTTAAATTAGATTTTACATTAGAATGTGTTTGTCAGAGACGCATTGCATCAAGATGAGTAACTGAACATAAGGATCCTTAGAAAAGCAGAGATCCTGACCAGACAGTAATGCTGTGAAGAAGTATGTAGTACATGGTACTACAAGCGTTTTAGTGGCCTTTATAATGTCCTGGGGATTTCTTTGCGTGCTCTGCCCAAGTCAAACTGCATTGGTCGGCAGTGCAAAGCAACTTAGAATATGATCCAAACAGTTCTTAAAGTGTCCTTATATGAATTAATCATCAGTCTTTTGATTTTGGCTTTTCAAGGTGTGAACTATTCAGGTGCTGCCTCCTGAATGACAGACTTAAGTGTTCGTCCTCGCAAACATTGGGAATGCTCTCTGTGTATGTACGTGTGGGTTACTGTGTGTATGGGTAGTGCTTTATGTTAGGTGCATGGAATCGTGTGTCTGTCTCAGCTTTTAACGATTACATCAATGGGTGTAAAACAGAGAGAACCAGTATAATCTAGTTTGTCAGCCTTTTTTTTCTTGAAGTGTTGTTCATGCTTGTGGGGATACATTTGTAACAAGCTGCACAGTTTTTTTTTTAATTCTTTTAATTTTGACTGCAAACACAAGTGTTTTGTTTGGTTGGTTCCTGCAAAAAGAAAAAAATAATCCGTGTGAGAGCTGTGATGTGTAATGGTGCTGTCTGAAATAAACTAAACGTCAAGACTTTCTCCACCTTCCCCGTGATCTTGATATTGCCATTTGCAAAGAATGAGTCTCAAAAAGATGACTTTCTCTCAGGTCATACATTATGACCCTTCCAAAGCACCCTCATCAAAAATTTGGTCTTTACTCATAATCAAAGCTGTTAAACGTTAAATCTGATCAGCTTTTTGTTTCCACTTATAAGCAAAGAGCCAGATCGTCACTGACCTGCCTTTGCTCATGAATTCATGTTTACTGGTCAAGTCGGTAAAAAAGCACATCTCATAGCTCCCTGCTGGATACAGTAGAAGTGGAAGTAGAAGTATAGAAGTGGAAGTAAATTGATCCAGTGCACAATGTATTAAAGTTGCAATTTCTAGCCTTCTAGGATCAAATAGTAATCTCTCCCTAAAATGAACGTGTCCTTTCCTATTCATACAGAAATTAATGTAGAAGAACTATATCATGTGTTAACGTGTGTAAAATTAATGTAGATCTTTTTTTTTTAATTCGGAAGAGGGCTGTCTTGTTTGTGGTTTCCAGTAATCAGACACAAAGCAGGGGAATTTCCAGAGGTGAGCTAGCCCAGAAGTGAACGCTAGGTGGAGACGAGTTGCAATAGTTTGACCTGACGCAGAGAACAGGTTTATGACGCAATAAAATCACTTCTGTGGGTTCAAAGAAGCCCTTTGCTAGTCATTTCTTTTACTTTAATGGTACATTTGATATGACATACAGGTAAATGTTGGATATGCTTCTTTGAGATATATTTATTTCAGTATATCGCACTTATCACTACAAATTCACAGTGATATATTCCTAATGGGTTAAAAATTGAATAATGAATTAATAAAAAGTGAATACAGATTTACCATTTGTGAAAAACCTTTAATACAAATTATCAGACTTTTAAATTTGATAAAGTTTAATCTTAATGTTTATCGAGGTGGCTTCTACAGCTTGTTCTACCTCATGGATATTTCTCAAACAAAGGAAAAGTGGAAACTTTATTTGGCACAGCCCTCCTGTGCATTAAGCATTAAGACATTTCTTTGTGATCTGTTCTGTTTAGCTAATCACTCATACCCGCAATATCCCGCAATTAGTTCACAATTTAGAAATAAACAAGTACTAATTAACGATAAGTAATAATATAATATTATGGAATAGAATAGATCTTTAGTATAGAATAGCTTTTCCAAATACAAAAAATACACACAAGGCTACTGTAAGATTAATGGAGCATAAAAATGTGCAACCTCCTAATCTGAGCAGATATTTTAGCTAGATGAGCTCAGTTGGGTAGATGTGTGTTGCTGATTAATAACCTTTTCTTAAACCTCGGCAGCAGCCATGTTGTTGATTTTGATTCACAGGCTTCTTTCAAGAAATACCTGAATGACAACCTTGGAGCACTTTGATGATGATGATGATGATGATTTCCGAGTACTTAAATAAAACTCCATAAAAAAACAGAATCAGAAAATTAGGGATATTAAAAAGGTTACAAGTGTTAGTATACCATTTAGCTCATTTGGTAGTAACTGCTGATTTCAGCATCTTAACTAGATGTTTCTTGAAAGAAGAAACCAGGGTTTCAACAGCTTGGCTGGGTAGCTTGTTCCCTATTCCCACAACCCTTGGTGTAAAGAAGTGCCTCCTGTTTTTAGATTCAAAAGGCTAGGGAGTTGCCTGCCCCTGTCACAGTTTGGTCTAGTTATTGGCAGTTCTCCTTTCTTTTGCCGCCTTTTGTGAATTTACAACTTTGACCTGTATAAGGCCAATTTTAAGAAAGTAAACTCATTTTGTAACTGGACAACAAATTGCAGTATCCACTAAAAATTGTAAAAAGGTCTGTCATAACGAGCTGACCAATTTATTTTTCTGGGGCTTTGTAAGTGTTCTAAACTTTATTAATAAGTGTTTTATTTGTATTTCTTGATAGCTATTTATTTGATGTTGTTTGGTCATGATAATATTCTTCTGTATTGTTTTCTGTTTTAGAACAAGCTGTTTAATCTCAACCCCTTTTCCAAAGTGTTGTAGCGGTCTTTCACACTAGTGTTCCTCTGAAGGGGGCATACTGCATATCAAGGATGTCCAGGGTGTTGTGTTGAGGTAACAACAGGGTGGTTCTTGTGGTGGTTATTAAGGAGGGGATGGCCTGGGACTCTCTGATGGTCAAAGAGAAATATTCACATCAAAACATTACTGCATTATCTTTTTTCAACTGTTTTTATACAGAGAAACGACGGTGTCCATCATAATAATTTTACTGCCTTACAGGTTTAAATATTGTTTAAAATAAGCAAGCATACTATTGTAGGTCCGCAAGAATGGGTCCAAATGGCTAAAAATCAAATAAGGGGCTTCTACATTTAACTTGAATTTTAAAGTGAAAGTGAAACATGATTTGTTACCAGAAATAAAGACTAGTAGGTTTGGTCTTATTTATGAGAGGTGTTGAACAGTTTAAGTGTTACCCAGAGGCTTACAAACAAACCTGCTCCAATGTTTTTCTTTACATCTTTTCAGTTTAGCTTACATTGTGAAGAAGGGATTGTGGCAAGAATATGGATTTATTTTTGTAATAAAGTAGAAATAAAATCATTAGGGGTAAGTTAGGGTCCGCAAGACTTTAAAGTGATTGAATGTTACCTTTTATTTGCACCTGTAGTATAAGTTTGAACCACACAAGGTAGCACAACATTTTATTTAGAGTTTTAATTACTTTGATTTAGCTAATGTTAGAAAAGTCCTGGAATTCTAATAATATTGTACTTAACAATTTGAAGCATGATTGCAAACCTTTAATGGTGAAATTCTATTAATTTCTTTTTTCACAAGCTAGACACTTTCAGATGGAAGTATTTCTGCCAAAAAAAAACACCACTTTGGACTAAATGTGTACATGAAAATCAGTTGGATTTATTTTTGTTACTGTAATATTTTATTGCCCAGCACTGTTGTTAGTTGCTTGCTTAGATGTTCAAATATAAAGCTTTTATAAAGGTGTTGACTCTGATATGTTCTGGAGATATCTTTGTATGTGTTTATGCAAGTCTTTGTGATTTTTAGTTCCAATAAACCTTTGTTGATCAACCAAAAGGAAGTCCTTGCAGTTGTTTAATTAAATGTTTAACAAGTGCTTACAGATCACAGCTTTACCAAGTCCCCTGTCCAGTCGATTGTTAAGAATGGCCAAGGTTGGATGCAGCACCATCAGGATCGAAAGCTTGGTTTGATCTGAGAAGTTAAAGCTGGAAAACAGCTTAATGAGTAATTTCTAGAAATGAGTCTGTGAAAAAGTATCTAAACTAAGACAAAAAAGGCACAATTTTGCATTATCTGTAGCGTGGTTACTGCAGGGTAGACACACACACCAGAGGTCATGAAGGACGTTGCTGCAGAAAAGACAAGCAAGGACAAGAGGCAGGAACAAGGTGCCATCAACCTGCAGGTTTCGTCTTTACCTACTGTTGGTACTTTACACATAAAGGGCTGTGGAGAGATAGTGATATTTGTGAGGCTTCAAACTGAGAATGTCTCATTTGAGCAAAGGGCAGAAGGATGCTTGTAGCGAGCCTGTCCCTGAGAAGAAGCTGGGCCCATGACTTTATTTCGATCATTATCAGCACCTCTAGCTTGTTTTTTCTGATAAAGTAATGTATTTTTTTCTAACGTAGGCATTATAAATGTGTGCTGAAAGAAAAAAAAATAACTGCACCTTCCTGTAAATTAATTTTTGAATACAAGAGAAACAGTAAAGCACAGATCTCTCTGAACTTGTCTGTCAGGTGTCTGTTGTGCTGCTTTCCCTTGTCACTAGGGGGAGGCCTTGTGCTTTTTGCTGGTCTATTGACAGCTTTGCAGGAAAGAAAAGACAGCTGTTGTAAATGTTCTGCTGCATTAATAAATCACCACACATACCCAAGGCTGCCAGTAGCTTCTTATATAGAAATGCCCGTCCAAGAACGAAAGGAGACTGCAGTCCTTTCATCGTATTTGTTAAACAAATGCTTAGCAAAAACACACGATGCTACCATTCACCTTCACCACCAAATTTGCAATTTCTGTTCTCATAAGACATGCAATGAGATTTTGTCTTTTGAAACAAAAACTAACAGCTGTTGCACATGCTAGGCTGTTCTCTATATTGAAATATCCCTCTTGTAATGGGAACTGACTACAAATCCAAATAAAAATCTGATTTTTTTTTTCAGATTTTGACATTCTGTTTCACATAACACGTACAAATCTAGAGCATGTAAGAAAGGTTCTAACAGAAAAGAAGGCATTCTGTCCATCTTGTTAACTTCATTCCTAGCAGTTTATTTAACAAAGAAGTAGTTTCTTGAAGATCCTACTAAATTTCCTGAAATGACATCATTAGGTAGTTTTGTCCCTACATCCTTTCTCTTTATGAAAGCTGTTATCCGCTGGCCACTGTGTCTCTCTTTGCTCTTGAGGAAATCGTGTAGTAAGGCTTCTTTCACCCATTGTGTCTTTTTTTTCTAATAGAAATCTGCAGTTGTAAAACTCAATGCAACCTGGAACCTAATAAGAATGGAGCCTGTATCCTAGTTGACTTTTTTTTTATTCAACAAGATTAAATCTGGCTCTAAATTATGCGGATTATGTTTAATTTCCATATAAATGAGGTTCATTTAAAAATGACGTCTTTCTTATTTAATGTAGCTCATTTGGAATTCTGTATTTGATAAGACATAATTTCATACCCCTGACTAAGAGTGAACAATTAGCAGAACCAGAATCAAACAGTGACTGGAGTAACTCAATCTCTATGGACTACTGCTGCTGGTGGTCACCCTGGTGGTCACACTGGTGGTCACCCATCAAGCACCCTGTTCCTCATCCAAACATTCCAGTCCAGTGCTCTTAAAAGCTCTTAGGAAAAAGGTCAGACTTTTATGATTTAAACCTTTCTGAACCTACAATTGAGCTGTAAAAGCAATACAGGTCAGGGTCAAAGACAACAATCAGAAGAAATATTGACATTTTGGTAAAATTCTACATTCCCAGCAGTATGATTTCCAGACATAATGCACTTTATGGCATTATGCCTTTATTATGTACTGAATTTTGAAATCCACAGACTTAATTGCCATAAAAGTACAAAACATATCTCTTCAATGACACCAAGTGCCTGCCTTACAGTCCAGACATTTCCAGCCTGAGTATGGTCTATATCTTCAGTCACTGCTACTAGGTTTGGATGGGCATTCAGTTGGCTAAGGTATCCCCAACATTCATCAGTGACCACTGTGGCTTGCCCAGCACCTGTGAGCTTGTGGTGCTGTCAGTGAAAACTTGATCACTCCTGCGGCCGATCTATCATGGTCATGCTGACAGGAAGGTCATGCGAGTAACCCAGAGTTTATTATCAATCATCAATTTCAAATGCCTAAAACACTTTCATACAAATAATCTTTAAATAAAATGTATCCTACCATGAATGAAACACCTTGGCAATGTTTTCTTTTTCTCGTATCTGTTCATTGTAAATTTAATGTTATTGTCTGGCTCCAAAAATGTAATGATAAATTTTGAATAGCCACCTATTTTAAGGCTAAATGATTTTCATAATGTCCAATATGTGCTTTGCCACAACCTAGGCAGTTATTCAGTCAGATTGTCAAGTGAAGTTGAATTGTCTGCTGTAGCCCTGGAACAGTGCAAGAATGGTAGTTTGCAAGTAACATTTTTATTTGGTTAATGAATTTTATCCAAAGTAATTTACATTTGCACCCATTTATACAGCTAGGAATTTTATTGGAATAATCAAGGTAAATTTCTTTACTGAAGGATATTTTGTAATAGTGTCATAGTAATAGTACATTCTTCTATTTAAAAGGGTAGAACCCCAACCAGTATTATTACACAGTACTATAATACTGATAAGCGCACTTGACTATTATGAGTAAAAATGTGAATGATACAATATGGACCTATTCACCAAAAAGCATAGTTTATTGCTGGTATATCTCAAAATATACCTCTTTAAACTATAACTGTGTATTCCAACACTGTCTTTCAAATGGACCAGCCACTCTGTGCTTTGTGCCAGGATAACTCCTTGCAATAAAATGTAGTCTTTCCAAGTTCCACTCAGACAATAGCACCGATTAATATTTAAAGGTCCTATTAGAGTCATGTGGTGTTTTTGTGCTTTGCCTCTGGACACAGAGTGATTGTATTTTCCATAAGAGTTGTGGAAGTGAACACAAGCTTTTTATTTTTTTAAAGCCACCTAAACAGTACACTGCTCTGTGTGTCTGATATCAATCTGTTATTTATTTCTTCATTATACATACGTGTATACAAGCATCTATCAGCCATGCCTTGCCTCTGTTGTCCTGCACATGGGACTCAAACACTTTGCCTGTCTGTGCTGCAGGTTGTCTGTGTTTGGCAGGCAGCGTTCTTAGCCCGTCATCATCTTGTTTGTGCCCGTCCATCTGTAAGTGGAAGTGCTGCCTTGCAGCCAGCTCATTTTTATTCATGTGTGGCACAACTGTGTCCAGCAGGACACCGCCACAGAGAGCAAATGTTTTTTTTTTCCTTTCCCATCCTCCATGTCTCTCGTTCCCATGTCTAGCCTGAGACTCCTGTATATAGCCAGGGAAGTATTCGGCCCTGTATGCCAGTGACCAATGTGCAGCCAGAATGCAGTCCCTCAGTTATGTGTGTGGGCCTGCTGGGTAAAGTCCAGAGAAGCTGACAGTAAGGCGGGTGGAGTGAAGGGAGGAAATGTTTGTGTGTGATTTTTACCAGAATTCACTTAATTCACAGAATTCAAGTGGCAGTATAGTGTAGCCAGTGTACCTCAGTGCCTGAAAACTGTCTGGCACTGTGAATACAGTGCCACATGTGTCCAGATGTTTTTTGTATACTCTAGCGTCAGGCATGTTATAGACCTGACTTCCATCAAGCACTATGATATATAGTGAGAAGCGATATGGAGGTCATAAAGTCAACGGTCATAATTATTTACCCAGTGTGGAGTGCAGTCACATGTTCAGGAATCAAGAAATTTAGAAAATCCCAATGTCTTCAGTTAAATGTTATTTTAACTTTGTGTAATCCATCAAAGTAATAAACTGGTCCATCAGGCCATCCTGCCCAATACATTGTTTTGATTAATGAATCCCCGTTTCTACTTATGTTGTATATAGTCAGTGCATATGGGCATATGTACTGTAGTTCACTGAGCTGCAGTTGAACTGCAAATTTCTATTGACATTTTACTTTAAAAGAGGCAATAAATTCTTGACTTATTCCTTCAGTAAGACATGATATTTTAATTATGATCTATAATCACATTTTTCCTTTCCATACTTTTTGCAGTGCAGAAATGCATCTTGGGGTCTACACTCTGGTGGACACTGGTGGTACTCTGGTGAGGGCCTGCATTGTCTCTCAGGTCTTGGGATATTTCCATTGGTACGTGGACCAAATTCCAGCGCTCCACAGAGCACAGCTCTTTGCATAGACCAGATAATTGTCTAAGCCCCATGTGTTGCTTTAATTTGGTGGGATTGTTTCTAGGGCTCAGATTGCCAGTTGTGCAATTAAATTCAACACACACATTTAAATCTAGGAACCATTTAAAAAAAAGTTGGGTCACGTATTGTTTCCTATGTTAGACAAATACCTCTTGGTGTTTTTTTAAGAAATCACACATTTCTAGAAAGGAAAACCCTGTCCAAATACCATCGCCTAAAATAAATGAGAAATTAACCGTCTCATTACATAACTCAGTTTTACATTGAAGAGTAAATTCTGGGTATTGAAGCTTAGCAAGTATGCCAGGGAGTGAAGGCTCAGTAATCAGCTGATTTATTTTGTTTGATTCTGGAACAAGGGTGCCATCTGTGTGCAGTTGGCAAGTTTGCTCTGTGTTCTAATAGCATTCTCCAGGTGCTCCAGTTTCAGTCTACCTACCAACTACATACTTCTTTTGTTACTTGGTGTCTGGAAATCATCTCTGTTTGTGAGAGCTCTGGCCCTGGAACCACTCTGTATGTGTACCTCGTACCCTCTGTTTCTTGCATAGGATAGTTGTTTAGGGGTTTTTCCTACAGTAT